GGTATGGTAGAACGAATGAATAGAACAGTTGGCAAGTATTTGACAAAGATGGTGTCCGATCATCAGCGAGACTGGGACCAATATCTCCCGTTTTTCACAATGGCCTACAGATCTGCTGTTAATGAATCAACAGGCCAGACACCAGCCAAAGTCCTATTCGGACGCGAGATGCGACTACCTTGTGATCTAGAGTTTGGGTGTCGACCTGGAGAAGATGTAGCAGGTGAAGATTATGTGATCGAATTACGAAGAAGAATGGACAAGGTTCACGAGTTGGTCCGTTCCCATCTCCAGATCGCTAGTGACCGAATGAAGAAACGGTACGATACGCAAGCCGAAAAGGGGTGTTTTAAGAAGAACGATAAAGTCTGGCTTTATAACCCCAAAAAAGCGAAAAGGTTGTTCTCCCAAATTGCAGCAGTTTTGGGAAGGTCCATACCTCATTATGGAGAAGATCAATGATGTTATTTACCGAATAAGCAAGATTCCGAGGGGAAAGCCGATGATAGTACACCATAACCGGCTGGCGTCTTTCGAAGGTGACCACGACGTAGATGAAGAAGTGGAAGTAAACCAAGTCCAAGATGTGTCTGACCTCACGTTTAAGGAATTCATGGGTGCCTATGGAGGTACCGGTAAAGCAAGACATGGTGTTACCACTGAAGAAAAGCAAGATCTACTCGCGCTTCCCGATGACTACTCACTGGCCCTTACCATCCCGGCCAGTATCAAAGACGCACCAGGGTTGGCATCCGTCTTTCGAAGGAAGTTCGGTCGAGTTGCAGAACTTCAATGCCAAGTGCCAGCTCCTGGAAAAGCCTTAAAACTTCAAGATGCATCACGTTACCTTTTCTACCTGGTAACAAAAGACACTGCCCGTGATCAACCTACCTACCGAGATGTATGGGAAGCCTTACTTCAGTTGAGAGAGCACGTACTAGAGTCCGACGTGCAAAAGTTAGCCATGCCAAAGTTGGAGTGCCGCCAATTAGATTGGAGGGTTATACGAAACATGGTGGAGGAAATCTTTAAAGACACCGAAGTCCAGGTGTTAGTCTGTTGCAATCCGCATAGTTACTGGTGCGGAGAGAAAACCGTCCCTTGTCATTTCTATACAACTGGAAGTTGTAAAAGAGGGTCCAGTTGCCAATATCAGCATGTCGTTCCAGTTCCAGTCCCGACAAGGTTCCAGGAGGAACCATCTTTTAAGAGGGGGGCAATGTTACGATTTTAAATGATATGGCATATAGAACTGTAAATATTTTATGACTAATTCTTTTATTGATTCTCGTAATTTCTAGGTCAAAAATCTACCTGAATCGAATGTTCTGGGGGCGACAAGCCGATAAAAAAAACATGTTTTGAGACCAGTCGCCGCTGTGTCTACATCGAGAACAGCATGGTATGTTCTACACCTTTCTGTTTACCGGCTTGGAATTATATAAATAAGGGAATACTTTCATTGAGGAACCAGTTATAAGAAGCTCGCGAACCGCGATATTTAAATGTAACGAAACGTTAATAAATTATTTGTAATTAGGATTAATAAAGACTTTAATAAATTCGTAATTAGTTATCGTGAGTTTTAATAAATTAGAATATAGACAATAAATTAGAATAAAGACAAATAAATTAATATTCTACATTAGGGATAGTCAAAGTTTTCCATTTGTTCTATCAGATAATGCGTTGTTAAGTTTTTCTGAAATAAATATGATAAATGTTCTTTAAAAGTTAATATTTTTAGATGAGTAAGGATGCTGTTAAATTACAAGGTAATCAAACTACACAAAGATTTAATCAAAACACCAACCATTTTTTTAATATTTGCTTATTCGGTGTAGGTTGATCACTAAGATATATTTATGAAATTATGTAAATATGTTCTTAATAACAAAAACATTTGAGTTAACATCCAGTTCAGTTTTACATGGCGTCAACAATTAAATTCGCTTAGTTTATAGCATGTATAAAGAAAGTTTCTATTATATATAAAAAAATATATTTTATAAAAAAGTTACAGTAATTTAGTTTATGACGTTAAGTTGCTCCAAATGTAGGCAGCCAACTTAAAAGTTTTGTTAGCATTTAGCTGGAGTTTCTTAAGAATATTTTTAATAAACGTTTAATATTTTACAGTTAATTTATTATTTTAAAAAGTGATGATAATAATGGGGAATAATCAATATTTTAAATGATATTTAATATCAAACGTACTTAATATTGTGTTATAATCCTTATAATAAAGAACGTTAGATAAAAAGGTAAAATCCCGGGTCGTCCAAAACTAGTTTCTGATAGGAATAGGAATAATAGAATATTATGATATTTTTGATGATATTGGATTATATTTTCGATGAATGATATTTTTTAATTGTGATATGAATATTATAATATTTTTTATCTAACGTACTTTATTATGAGCATTATATCATACAATATTAAGTACGTCTTGTAATTAGGTATCATTTGAAATATTACTTATTCGGCATTATTATCATCACTTTTTAAAAAAATAATAAATTAACTGGAAAATATTAAACGTTTATTAAATATATTGTCAAGAAGCTAATTCTAACAAAAGTTTAAGTAGGTTGCCTACATTTGGCGCAACCTAACGATATAAACTTAATTATTTTTAAAATATATTTTTATATATAATAGAAAATTACCTTCTTTATACATGCTATAAATTTCTAAGTCATAGTATAACTTTGCGAAAGAGGTCGATGAAATACTCTAATGAAATGTGGTATGAGCACGTGTGATTGGTTGTACAGTAATTTCCAGCCACTTCTAGTCTGTCAAAAAGTAACTAACTTCGTAAAAACATAATTACTAAAGTCACTAGACAGTTCGGACTGGGATTAGCGAACCGAGATTGACAGTTCAGCGGGTGGCAAAAGTGTATAAAGTGTTGCCGGTTTTTTAGAGTAGGAACTATGTTTTGTTTTGACTTATTTTATATGTTTTGTTATGTTTTGACTTGTTACACAATTTGATCATAATATAATATATTATTATATTAATAAATTGTATTTATATATGCATTTTAAATTTAGATTAATAGCTTTAAAAACTAATTATTGTTGTGTATTGTGATTGTTATATGCCAAAACAAATAAAAGTCTGTAGAAAGCTGATAAGCTTTTATATAAGATATATTATTTTGGACAAGAAATAATGGCGGGACGTTTTTGTTATTTAAGCCCTAAAAGAGGTAAGTTTAAAATTTAGAATATATAATTTTGTATTAAAATGTTTTCTTATGTATTTTACCGTCTTGCAGTAGTCTTAAAATTAAGTTTACTTACTGTTAATATAATAGTTGACATTTTAAAAATTCCTCACTTACTAACTATTCTGATATTTTGGCAACGCTGTAGGGTTCTGAGGACTTAAATCTTGAATGACGTGCAAGCTTTTTTATCTGAAAAATGCTATAGGAAACGATATTCCTGGTGTTTTCTGCTCGCTGCGATTTTTACAAAGAATATATATGCACAATTCACCATTATGTTAAGTAAAAAAAAATAGTTTTTTAATTCACTTTTTTTAAAAAACCACAAAAACAAAACTGGTCAGAACTATTGTTTGCCACCAAAAAAATGGCGGACACTTCGAAAAGTGGCTTCACTTTTTGAAGGTTGATTGAATGAGCGTTACCCACGGTTCGTAGACTTACTACGGTTGCCTCTTCCGACTGGGGTGGGGATGCTTGAGTTACGTCACAGGAGTACACAAGAATACAAAACCCATTTATTCGCGATTAAAACTGAATGTAGAGGGCAGGTCGATTGCAGTGTCATGGCCGATATAAATGGTATAAACAAAAACAAACATAACATTCGAATATTTACCATTGCTTTTCCATGTTTAGTTTGGTTTAAGACGAGTTATTTGTATCATTTAATAATGGAAATTAACCTTAATGATATCTTTGAGTATTGTGGTGAAGCAAAGAGTCCATTGGTTGAAGGAGAAGTAGTTTTCAAGTAATGAATTCCTAAATTTTAACTTTAATGTTTCGAACTGGCTTGTGTATTGATGATGATGAATCCTATTTTGTGTATATTACCTGGGAACCCAGAATATAATATTCTGTGTAATGTTTGCCTTAACGTATATATAACATATTTGCCTTATATGCATTATTATACCTTATGTTTTTAATATGTTAATTTTTATTTTATACTATTTTTTGACGTATGTAAGTACTTTATTGTATATTAACATAAATAAATAACTTTAACTTGGCTTTATTGTAAAATAGTTCATTTGATTACATGAAATCAACCTACTTTATTTATAAAACATTTTTGTTTTGACACATCCATCCAATCACAGGGCTGAATGTTAAGATTCAAATTACGTCACAGGAGTACAATACTGCTCGATGAGTACAATCCGGCTTAATGTTCATTGGTTAGGCGGAAGCATCGAGCAAAAAGACAATAGAGGGAATGTAAAGGTAGTGGGGGCAAACATATTGTTAGACAGGAAGTGCGATCTTTAGAGGCCACTTTAAACAAGGAAAGAGAGTCTCTCTCCTTGTTTGACATCAAATTTAGTTGGGTTATGTTATTGTTTATCCCAAATGTCACATGAAATCTTATTTATATTGAAGTTTTTTAACAATTGTGTCGCATTTTAGACTCTTATCATTAATAATTAATTAAAACTTTCTCGTCTAAGACACATTTTGAAAAATATTATATAGCTACTGTTGATAAGTGTCGGAAAAATTAAATTTCGCGCATTCGCATTTCCGGATATGTCCGCCATCAGAGGCCACTTTTTTGGTCTCCTTTTCATAAGGATTAGATTCCCTCTTTTGTCTTATTGCTCGATGGGCGGAAGAGGCAACCGTAGTAAGTCTAGGAACCGTGAGCGTTACCCACAGACCACACCCGTCCTCTCTCTTTCCTTGTCTAAGATTTCCATAGTCCATCCCAATGACGTATAAACGTCATTGTCCATCCATAATTTCCCGTGACTAATTTCACACCGGTTGTATATGATGTAGAATGTAGATTTGATGTTCGTTCAGTTTTTGTCTTGTCATTATAAACTTATAAAGTAAAAAGGAAGTAAAGAGAACATGGCTGCAGCAGTGGTTCAGCAATCAAATGTGAACGATTATTTATTGAAAAAACAGCAAGAAAGTTCAAAAGAATTAGGTTCAGAATGGGCTGAACTTGAAGAACTTCACAATAAAAAGTAAGTCCGTGTTTTGTATGGATAAAATTCTAGTTCTCTCTTTGTTTTTAGATTATGGCATCAATTGACTCTGAAATTGATGAATTTTATTAAGAAACCAGAACTACAAATAAATGATAACCTTATACAACTTTACAACAACTTTATTCACAGTTTTGAAAATAAGTAAGTGATTAAGTCTCTATGCTGTTATCATTTATTCAGACTTTTAGTTTGATCCTCACACTTAAGTATCTATATCCATTGCATTAAATGAATGGATATTTCTTTTATATTTAAAAATGACCTACAACAGGAAGTGTATTTTGCCAAAAAACTGGTTTTTAAAACTACACTAAAACTACTCATAAGCTGCTTAGTAGCAACTTTCTTTAATTCTAATAGAGCTTTAACAACTATATATTGGAACAAACAGTTATTGTGCAAATAAAATATCAATTTACCGAAATTCTTTTATTTTATTTTTTTTTTTAATTGTAAATATGAAATTAAGTAACAACATTTTTTATGATATATGGAATTATTTTTACAGTTTAATTATATATTTTATGTTGATTGCTATTTAATTAATAGTTTGATAATCAAAACTGACAACTGATGCTGACAACTAAATTTTTCAAAAGAGGTTTTTAACAAACTAAAATAAAAATTAATAAGCCATGACATTGCCCATAGCTTGAATAACAGCCTGAACTTTATTAGGCATTGTATCTACTTCTTCACAGGATTCAGGGGCTAAATTATCCCATATTTCTTTAGCACATAGTTGTGGCAAAGTATGCTGAGGGTTATTTCTTAGGCATTGTTTTATTTTGTAGCTAGAAATCCGCTTGCTAGAAGGATGTGATAAAACTTTAAAGGCCCGTTTTCATGCTACGTCTTATTGTACGTTTTGTTGGTCATATAAAACGTACGACAAAATGTAACGTATGTTTTGTCCAGTGTATACACACTATGTGTTTCCTTCCGACAAGACGTACGTTTTGCTGTTTACATGCAACGTTTTATTGTATAGGATTTGTCCTATCCAACAAAACATACAAGAAGACGTAGCGTGAAAACGGGCCTTAATGTCCATCCATCAATTTTTTGGTAGATTTAGCCATATGGCATGAGGTTCCATCCTGCTAAAAGATAAAATCTCTGGATCTGTGTAACTTTGCTGCAATTGGTAGAACCAATGTTCAAGGATATCTTGGTATTTGGCTGCGTTTACTATGGCCTCAATAAAATGTAAAGTTCCCAACCCTTGGTCGACATACAACTCTACACCATGATGCCTTGTGGAAACTTTACAGTCCTTTTGAGACAATCCTTATGAAATGTTTTTTTTTCACAAATCAGAAGCTTTTGACAATCTCTCTCTTCGAAAGTTTTGATTTAGCCCAAATGTAACAATTCCTTTTTTGAGCTTCCTTCAACAATGGTTTTTCTTTGGCTATGCAAATAAATAAAAAAATAGAAAATTTAAATCACAATGAAGAGCTTATCAAACATAACATAAAAACTAAGACTGCTTTTTTGGATATGTTTGTGACAGGATTCTCTAGAAATATTTATCTGTTTCTTTATTCCTCCTAGCAGTTACTTCTCGTAGTGTATTTATTCTTCCCAACTTACATACTCTAATATACACTCCTTTGAGAAACAGCTTTTGGACAGCCTGTACTTTTGCCGCGAACTTCAATCCTGGCAGTTCCACCACATTTCTTAATTGTATTAATCACAGTAGTTGTTGCTATAGTCAATTCACTGGAAATTTCACTCATTGTTTTACCTTTATGGTACTGATAAATAATAATTTCTCAAACTTTTGGATCAGTAGGTTTTTCATATGCCATTATTATATCTTGTTCATAATAAAACTGACGATTGTGTCTTTATTCTTACTCAAATGATGCTTGACAATTACTATTGACAACACATTACCTACTCGTATGTTTGATTTCTTAGCCTTCTTTGTGCCAAGCTGATAAAATTTAAGGAACATGAGAAAAAGTAAAAAATGTTCCAATATTTAGTTGTCAGTAGTTTTCGATTGTCAAACAATTAATTCAATAGTAATCAATATAAAATATATAATTAAACCACAAAAATAATTCCATGCATTATAAAAATTCATATTTACAATAAAAAAAATAAATAAATAAAAGAATTTCAGTAAATTGGCATTATATTCACAAAATAACTGCTTGTTCCTACACTGAGGTTATTTTGTGGTAAATATTTCTCAATTTACATTATTTATCAATTGAGGCTTCTGACTAGCATTTTCATTCAACATCACCTTTCATTTTTTTCATAAAAATAAATTTGACATAGGAGGCATATTGACAAGCAAAAAAAGTACAGATGTTTGAACAGCAGAGGATATAAATTGAGATTGACCCTGATTTTGATCTTCTAATATTTGTCCCTTAGTAACACATTAGCTATAGCTGTATCAAATTTGGTTTAACTGAACTTATTTAACCTCCCAATAAATTATTTTAGATGTTACTAAAATTGAGAGAATATTATTTTTCTGTTGTTGATTGAAAAGAATGGACAAAGGATATTCAAATTATATGACTATCACCATCTTAAATACTTTTGTGATACTGCTATATGACCTAGTCTGAATACTTCTTGAGGTCTCTTTATACTCTTGGATTTCACTAGTTCCACCTCTCTGATTTTGTACTGTATTTAGACAATGTCTCAGCAGCTATTATTTTTTTTATTATTGATTCAACAGTTTTGAAGTGTATACTACTTATGGTGTGATGTTTTGCACAGCCTTGAAATTCTATTTAATGTTACTTGAAAAATCGAGACAGGTGTAGTAACCTTGCGGTATACCGCAATATACATAATATAAATACATATAGACTTGTCTTATTATAACTTTATATATTTTTTTATAACAACTTGAGAACAACTGGATCTTGGCACTTGAGAGCAACTTGAATAGATGAATAAAATAAATCAAATAAAGTTATATAAAATTATAAAAAATTTTAGAACATAAAAAAATATCAAAAATTTATAAAATTCTGACAAATTATAAAAATTTTTAAAATTAAATAAAGTTAAAATAATATTAAACAAATTCAAATAAAATTTTATCAACTAAAATAAAATTATAAAATTTTTAACAAAATCATAAAATACATTTAAATAAAATAATTTATAAACTAAAAAGTTTATTTCAGAATTCTATATTATTAAATTTAAATTATTTTATATTCGTATATAGAGAAGTATTTGTAAATGGAAAGATTTTAATGAAGATTAATTATTATACACTCCCATTATTCATGATTTTTTTTAGAATATAATCATAATCAAAATGAAATAATTCTAAAAAATCATAATAAATTATAAAATATAAAAATTAAATAAAATTATATAAAATTAAATAAAGTTATAAATAAATTATATAATACTTACTATTTAAATGGAAATAAGTCACAATTAAAGGTTAAAATAAGTTTATTGACATTTCAATTTCCACTTCGGAAATTATTCTTAAAATACAAATATTAGTAAATTAAACAAATTTTGTTTTTTTGTTACTGGTGAAAAATTCATGTAATAATTTAATTTTATCTGACTCATTTATATTGACAATTCAGATATACATTATACATTTTAAAGTAGACCACTTTAAAATGATATTGCCAATATTGTTGAGTTGCGTTCCTGGGACAACTTCAACTTTATGACAGTAAAACTCTCCTGTTAGTGACTGCATTGTAAATTATGAGGGAAAATCTGGAAAAAAAACCTCATAATAATATCTTGTCATGGTAAGTATTTGGTTGTGCATTTAGTTTACCTTCAATAAACACCAAATTCTGATTTTATGTTTGTTTTTAAAAAAGTATAATGATGTATCATATGTTACTGTCTTATTAATACTGGTATTTTTCTTTTATAACATCCTTTTTTAATGTGGATAACCAGATCCTACTATACTCTGCCGAGAAATTTGCGACACAATTAGTCTCATTTAGCATAATTAGGGGCGCTTCTTTGATTTTTCTCTTTTTACCATCACTTTCTTTTAGGACTATATTTGAATCATTCCATTGAACCCTATGTTCATTATCCTATGCGTGTTTACATATTTGAGATCTATCAAATTCTCTATTTTTAATAAAAGATTGATGTTCACTTCAACATTTCACACGTTGCCTGCCGTCTATGTGACTGAGAAAAAAGTTGCTCTACACGCCAGCGAGGTCTATTTGACCGAGAATTTTAACGTAACTGTGGTGCCATCTCGGTCAATTTGACCGAGACAGATTTACATTACAGGTTATATAAAGGTACCTCTGCGCACCGTGGCGTGAGCTCCAACTTTTAGTTTTTGGTCAATTTTTACCTTATAAGTAGTTTAACACCATCAACGTGCGACGTTGTCGTATCTGATCGAAAACTTTTTAGAGGATTCCTCTAAAAAAATATATTTTAGCGGTCCTCTATAACATTTCTTTATAGAATGTCAATGTTACCTGAAACTTTAAGAGGACCGTTAAAAGTTAAATTTTAGAGGCCTCTTAAATTTAACGGAAATGTTACAGAATACACCTCTTAGGATGTTAAAAAACTTAGCTAGTAACAACATAGTGGTGTTTTTTGTTACTATGTGCAAAAAAGTTTTTTTGTTAACGTTGGAAATGTATGGTAGCTTTGAACTTAAAACGCAAAGGTTTACCCAAGGTTAATCGAAAAACCCAATGTAACTACATTTGAAGGAAGTAATTCTTTGAATTGTCGGCAATAACTAAATTTTTGATTGTTATAAACACCTCACATTCAAACTTTATGAGAACTAAGAAGTAGAGTTCAACGAGCAAGTGAAAATTTACAAGAGTTTGAAACAGATGTTGCTCGTATAGTGCGGTTGGCTTATCCGGAGGTACCAGACAACATTTTGGAAGAAATTGCTGTAGATACCTTCGTCAATGGGTTAAAAGAAAGTGAATTACAGAAAGCTTTATGACTAGCAAGACCTAAAGTTCTAGACGAAGCGCTCGCTATTGCTTTGGAACATGAAACAGCTAGTCAAACTTCACGGAGCCATCGAGTAAGAACCATTGAAGAAGGCGACGAACCAAACGATGAACGTCTAGAAGAAATGGTACGAAAAGTAGTTCGTAACACGATGCCGAAGAGAC